TTCGAATTATCTAAATTCGGATTAATCCCGTAGTGTAGACATACCCTAAGATGAATATGGGTTGCACAACCTAGCCCATATGGGAAAGGATGGTCCAGTGATTAGGGCACTGGCTTAGGATGTGGAAGATCTGCTTTCAATCCCCTGCTCTGCCCAGACATCCTGTGTGACCTTGGGCAAGTCATTCAGTCTCGCTGTGCCTCAGTTTCCCGTCTGCACAATGGGGATAATAATGCATCCCTACCTCACAAGAGGATAACTGCATTACAGATTGTGAAGTACTTTGAGATCTACTGATGAAAAGTGCTATATAAGAAATAGGTATTCTTATTATTACTGTACTGGGAAAAAAGTGTCATGTTAGCATGTTAACTAACATGTCTTAACTAACATGATGTTAAACATGGTTTTACCCTCAGTGTGGACAAGGGCAATTGCGTTAAAAAATGTGTTAACTCATCATGGTTACTCCTATGAGGAACTAACCCTGACCAGCTCATGTTTTTAAACATACCTGTCCTTGTTCACACTAAGGACAAAGCTGTATGTAACACAGTGAGGTCCTATTCCATGCCTATGGCACCTACGTGTTATGGTTGGTTCGTAAATAAGTAAGTAAATAAATAAGTTAATTAATTAATAGCAGCAACATTGTGTTAGTCAACACATTCTCTAACAGGATGCTTTCATTCCCAGTATAGACAAGGCCTAAGAAGGCATCTGGAAAGAGGTAAACATATAAGTGAAGTGCTCAAGGACTGAACTGGCCGTGTCTTGGTAAGAGAGAGTGTTTTCTTGGGGTTGGGGTTTTTTGTAAAATATAAAGATTTTCCCCCAAGGACACTTAACATTGTCCATCAGTAAATACAACTGGGAAAATTTTGAACCTCACTGGAAACATCAGATGCTGATGCAGATCAGATGCTGCAGTAAGCTCTTCCCTGGAGAAAACACATTATAATAAAATACAATAACTATTAAATTAAATACAGTAATTAAATACAATAACTATACTTTGTAAGTATGTAGTGCTTTTTATCCAGAGATCTCAAAGCACTTTACAAAAGTGGGTAACAATTACTCCCATTTTACAGACATAAACTGAGGCAAAGAGGTTACACAACTTGCCTAAAAACACCCAGCAAATCAGGGGCACAGCTGTGACTAGAATCCACACCTCCTGAGTACCATAGCTATGCTGCCTCCCCCATCACCATGTGCTTTTAAAAACCAAGGGTGGGGAACATCCTGTACCTTGAATGAACCACTTGTTGTTGTTTGAACAAACCATAAGGAACCTAGGGTCACTTCTTAACAGGTTATTTCTTCCTCCAAAGCATGGGCCAACTTCTGAGCATGCCCCTCTGATGTTGGCTGTCATGCCCACCCTCTCTCCCCTTTCCAGCCCCCATATCCTTTATGCAGCACCTTCCCGTGCAGTACCCTTGAGCTTAAGAAAGATATAGGGCTGCTGATTTCAGAGCAAATGCCAGTGCAGTGCAGTGGATGGATTGGCGATGCCCAACAACAAAACAGGTGACTCCACTATTAAAGCTGGATGTTCCCACCCAACATATTTCAACTAATAGTAGGTGACAAAGCACCCCGAGTTTTCCTTTCTCCCTACTGCCAACCTGAAAATCATTTGGTGCATACCAAAATCTGATGTACCTTATTACAGAACTCTACAGAGAAGAATGAAAAAAGCCCCTTAGCAATCAGGGGACATCTACTCCCCTTCGATGTTACTTATGAATCTGTATGGCAGCTCCAGGACACCAAGGCTTACAGGGCAGAGAGAGAAAAGAAATAAATGGTGACTCCTGCCTTGGTTCTGGAAATACTGTGCCACCATCCGCCATTCAAGATGCACCCACAGGTTTTCAGAAATCTAGACTCCACTTCTTTCTTTTGGAAGCAAGTACCGTGGAAGACAGTTAATTTTACTTGAGAGATGGTAGAGCAAGAAATGGAAGCATGAACAAGCAAATGAAACCGGGTTCCTGGCACTCCCGTACACTGACAGTATCATGATGGAGTCTTCTTGTATCAGTCCAGCGCTGGTCGAGATAGAACGAAATCACACAAACTTGTGGTGTAAATGTCGCTAGACTTAACTTTCTTTCTGTGTTGTATGATTAAACAAAATGTCGCCATTTGAACAAGTGCCTGTTTTGTTTCTTTTGTTTTGTTTTTTTACACTTCATTTTTTTTACTTTCCCTCCCCTGTACAGTTAGAGTTGCCCCAATATCCATCTGTCACTTTCCTTGGGTAGCCCAATCCTGCAACTACAGGCAGGGGCCTGTCCAGGTAACAGGAATATTAAAAAATAAGATCTGGAAAAGAGCTGTTAGGTCACAACTTGCTTGCTGCCTCCCATTTAGGGTGACCAGATGTCCCGATTTTATAGGGACAGTCCCGATTTTTGGGTCTTTTTCTTATATAGGCTCCTATTACCCCCCACCCCCATCCCAATTTTTCACACTTGCTGTCTGGTCACCCTACTCCCAGTCCCCCATCCAGTGCTCACTGAGTCCTTACATTTCATATATTATCCTGGACTTTGTTCAATCTGATTTTAATCACTCCAGTGATGAGACTTCCCCCTCTTCTCTTGGGACAACATTTCACTGCCTAATAGACTAGGCAAAGTTCCTTGATATTTGTCTGGGATATTCCTTTGCTTCCTTTAAATTACAGCAGAGAAGACCTATTAGATAATCTTCTCATGCAGGAGAGTTTCCAACTAGAGGATGTCATATATTAAAGTGGTAACCCCTATTATTCCTACTTATACTCCCCTAAAACATCCTGAACTATTCTTCTCGCTGCTTGGTGTTTACACCCTTCAGAGTCTCTCAGTTGTCATTTAGCAACACTAAATATTTCTCTCTCTTTCTTCACAAGTCAACATGCCAGCCTCTTTAATGATCCGGGTTGCTCTTCTCTCAACTCCCATCAGTGTTTGGATGCTTTTCTGAAATCTGGTGATGTCATGAAGACCAGAGCTTGACGTAGGAAGGCTAGATGGAATCAGCCCTTCTAGAAGATCCCCCTCCAAGCTTCTTCTCAATTCAAGGTCTGGCCTAAACCTGCACAAGCCAGGGTCCTCCCAGGCAGGGAACTGGTGGAGATGAATCAGATCTGCTCACAGAACTGGAATTCTGGGTGGCAGAGGGGGATTGAGTTTAACCTCTATGTACATACAGTTGGAAATCTGGAACTGTCGTGAAAGCTAGGCTCACAGGTGTATGGGCAGAGCCAGTAGATTGAGGACTGCCTTCTGAATTGTAGGACAGTCGGAGAATCCTTTTCCCGCACATTTATAAGCGGTCCTTCTGTCATTGGCTTGGAAGGAGTGATGTGAGGTCTCTGCAGAGCCCGACTGAGCAGGAGGGCTGTACTGAATAGCTTTTTATGGAGGGGATGGTATGACATGATTGTCTACAATGGCATGTAGCTGATCTGTGACTGGCAAATATCCTCTACAGCCAGAGATGGGCCACTAGACAGGGAGGCCACTGAGTTACTACAGAGAATTCTTTTCCATGTGTCTGGCTGGCAGGTCTCACCCACGTTCTCAGTGTCTGATCACTAGATCTAACATCCTTTGGCTGATTTGCTTCTCCCTGTACCACATGGGACCATGCCAGCTGCTCAGGCAGTGTTTGAGAATGGGGAACCCAATAGCCACTGTGCCTTAGACCTTGAACTCCGGCTTTTATGGTTTGTGTCCCTACCTCCCTGTTAGTCAGAAGTCAGATTCTCTCTGAGGTGATTATCCGCGCTGAATAGTATTCAAAACCCACTTACGGTACTTGCAACTAAAAATAGATTTTATTGGCAAATTATTGAAACCAAGAGAAGAAACCATAAGAGGATAAGTAAAATCTGCACTCACCTGCACAGCTACTACAAGAAAGCCAGCCCAAACCTTAGGCTACAGAATATTGGGTTAGATACATGAAAAACTGTACATGGTAGAAGAGCCTTTGGTCTAACAGCAAAGCTGTCTCTGTCTTTCAGTCTGTCAAATGTCCCGAGGAAGGTCTATGGGGAACTGGAACTCCTTTACCCCTTTGAAAGGAATACATCACTTTGGTTCTGCCAAAAGGCACCTGCTGCCCTTCTGAATCAAGCTGGTGGTCTGCACATTACATTGCCTTACAAAACCATATTAGCAAGGTGAAACCATCTGGAATCTGGTTCAGTGGCCTCATCCTTCTGCTTACCCTCAGCCTGCATTACGCTATTTTTCTTCTCAGCTGTCCTTTCCCATCAGGTTAATATTCTCCTACCTCTTTGAGTTGGCATTTTATTAACAGGTTATCAAACCGGCCCTTCTAGACCAATGAGAAACAATCAAACAAAAATGTGGATTTCACCAACCTCAAGAGCAAACAGCTCTTTGATCAAAAAGTTTACGAGACAGAGAAATTAGCCATTCAGATACAGCTTTGTCACAGCGCTATAAAGCTGGAAAAGACCCATCCTTCTATCCCTGTCTGTCCATCGCCCATGCCTCCCATCCTTCTGTCTGTCCATCCCTCCCTCCGCCCCTCTGTCTGCCCGTCCGTCCCATCCTTCTGTCTGTCCATCCCTCCCTCCGCCCCTCTGTCTGTCCATCTCTCCAACACCGCCCCATCTGGCCAGCCCCGCGTCTGCCTGGCGCTCTAGCTACCCAGCCACGCGACTACCCCCGCCCGCGGGGACTCGGGATAGAGCCGCGGGCGGGGCTGTGCGCGATGAGGTCACGGGGCGGGGCCGCGGCATAAGGCGGGGAGGGGGGGGCGCTTGCTGCCATTGGCCGGGAAGATGGCGCTGAACAGGAACCACTCGCAGGGCGGCGGGGTCACTGTCCCCCCCGGGGAGAGGTACCGGGGCGCGGGGGGACCCGCGCGTGCCGGGTGGGGCGCGGCCCCTCCCCTCCCCTCCGAGACTGAGGCGGGTCCGGCCCGAGCCGAACCAGATCCCCGGCCCGGCCGCCCTCTCCGAGCCCCCTGCGCCTGCCCTGGCCGCAGCGCGCTTCGCCCGGCCCCCGCGCAGCGGCCCGCCTGGTCCGGCCACTGGCCCCAGCCCGGGAGGATCCGATGTCCCCTGCTCGGCCGCCCCGGGCTGGGCTTTTCCCGGCCCGCCCCCGGCGCAGGAGTTGAGGCGCTTCGTTTGTTTACGTTGTGGGCGCCGCGGAGGCCCCGGCCCGGGGAGCGGAGGGACGGGGAAGGAGGGCTGCCCTGCCGCTCGGGTCTCGCCCTTTGGCCCGGCTGAGGCAGCCCTGCCCGGGATACTTGCTGTTGCGGATTAATCCGTATCTAACTTCAGTTCTTCAAACCCGATCCCGGTAGCTTCAGGCCTGACCCAGGTGCCATCGGTCACTGACTGCCGAGTAATTAAAAAGTTGGTGGGAAAAGTGGGTGTGTCGGGCAGTGAGCGGAGGGGAGACTGAGGGGGCGGGGTGCGTAGCACTGTCAAGCTCTTTGGGGGAACTGCCCAGAGGCCGCTGGGAGATAAGCAGTGATTAGATCATTGCCCGGATAAACCCAGCTTCCTTTAGCCCACTCTCTTTAAGGAGCTTTTCTTCTCTACAGACTGTTTCCTTGACTTCGGCATCAGTTTTTTCCTGTGCTCTCTGACCAGCTCCCAAGTTGGCAGCAGGGCAGTTTGTTTTTTCTGAAAGCTGTTGCTCACTAATAATGGGCGTGACAACCCCAGAGGAAATGCATAGGCGTGAATCTGTAGTCACATGAGCTGCAGCTTGTCAGCAGATTAGTGTCTGAGCTCCATCACAAGGCATTACCTGCACTTTCATTAGCAGTGTGTACAATACTAGGTCATTAGCAACATCTGCATGGGTTTGGGTGTGTGCTGAGGTTGCAAACAGGGAAGTAGTCACTTTCTGAATAGACCTGCAGTAAATTACTCCAATAAACATACTCTTAAATATTAAACGTACCTCTAGTTTGAGACCTAATTCTCCCTGTCCACAAATATGCACTAGCTTTAAACAACTGAGGTAGGTACAGGAGGTACTGACTTTCTAGCTCCTATTTTGCTTTTTCCAGATGAGATGTAATTCTGAGTCTGACTGCTCATGGCCATTAAAGATTCCATAGTATTCTTATGGGACTATGCCCAAAACAGCCCACCACCAAAATCAGTTCAAACTCTGGGCCTCCTCACTTCATTAGTGTACCTCTTAAGGAGACTACAGGAATACTGCTATTTTGGTATCCCTAAAGATACATCTAGACCACTTCTCATCTCTCTTCTGGTAAATAGTGAGCTGGAGAGGAGTGATTTGGACAAGCCCTGTGTTTTCCTGGTCTAATTCTGTATTAAGGTTTGGCACAATTATTCACAACTGGTGAACCATCAAAATAAAGCAGCACCTTTACAGACATTAATCTTTTGCATTAAGCTGCACCCATGGTAGTAGTATTAGATTGTTTATTCAACCTGTTGTTCGTGCTTGGGCTTTCCCAAGCTACTGAACGTTTTTTCTCTCTCCTTCTTTCTGTTTATCTAGTATAGATGTCATTGGCAGTTGGTCGTTTCAGACCTAGAACAACCATTGCAACTGCCCCGTTTCCCTCCTGGATAATCTGCAATCTGAAAAGATGGAAGATTTCAGAGTTTGGGAATGAGCCCATAGGCCGGAGTGGCCATGGTGGTGCTTCCTGTGTTATCCAAAATGGTCTTGGAGCTTGAGGCTGTGGCTTGGCCCTAAGAGCACCCTGACGGATGGTCAATGTCTGGGCTGCTGGTATAATCTAAAGGCACATAGTCATGCTAATTCAGGCCCTTTATTGATTTTTTTTTTTTTTTTTTTTAAAGAGGGAGTTTTACCAAACTTGAAACAAATAGAATGATTTTGTGCCATTTAAAAACAATGGACTCATGGGGTTTGTTTGGTTCCCTGGCTGCCCCGAAACAGCTGCACTGGGTTAGTGCATGAAAAAGGAAGTAAACCTGGCTAAAAATCATGAAACTGGTCAGCCTAGTTTCACTATTCAAGCTTGGTATTTATTTACTTGTATTTCAAACAGCATCACTGGTGAAAAGTCAACAGCCTCTGGGCAAAATGGTTGTATGTGAGCAGTCTGCTTTCAAATATGATTGTATGTTGGCCTATCCCTGTTGGGGAGATGTACCCTAATCAGTACCACCAAAGTCAATCACAAGTTCAGTTCCTTGCAATGTAGGTGACAAAACAGTAACTAATAAGTAGGGCAAGGGTGGAACTAGCAAAATGCTGTCTCTGAAGATGGGGAAGGGGGTGGGTTTGAGCAGAGCAAACTCCTCACCTCCTTGTAGCAGGAAGTAACTTCACTTATGAAATCCAAACCGGGTGTCTTGGGATGGTACTGCCACTAGTGCTGGACCTGATCTGCAAGTCAGGAGGCAATCTGCTTAAATTGTGTGAAGGTAGCTCTGAGATCCTGGACAGACACAAGACATTGAATGGAGAAGTGTGGGAAAGAAAACTGCCTTCTAGATTACTAAATTGTCCTTTAAGCTGGGTGAATAACAGAAAAATAAATGAATAAGTAATATTATGAAGCTCAAAACTTTAAAACTTGTCAAGTAATATTTGGCAAATGTTATATGACCAGCTGTAGTTTTCCTTGTAAGCTGCTAGGCCATCTTGCTGGACAGTATATAAATTCCCAACAGCAGCAGAATTTCAGTCTTCTTCAGGGATGGGTTTACATCTCAAAACCCAAAAACTCCAACATAAATTAAATAAACCAGGTCCTGGCCCCTTTCCAGATCCTTCCCCATATCTGCTACTTGTTGACCTCTTAACTAAGAGCCAGGTGACTTGCCAGAATCACTTGATCTCTGACCTCAAACCCATTACCTGGGATAAAGCTTAGTCACAGGTGGGGTGAAGCCAATTTGCCTTAAGGGGCCAGCCCTCCCTGTGACAGTCCTATATTTATAAGTAAAATTGTTCAGTAGGTTTAGTGTAATTACCACTGCACTGATATACTAAAAGTATTAAGTGCTGTTTTACCTACATACGTATAAAGTATGATTAAAAAAAGCTCTTTAAAAAGGCACATTTTAAATTGGATACATGAGTTATTTTTATACAATGTAAAAGTGACCTATGAAATTTGCTGCCATAGAATATTGCTGAGGCAAAGAGTTTGGTGGGATTCAGAACTGGATTAGAGATGAGCAATTGCCCTAGTTAAGAAGAAATGTCTCCCCATAGCATCTGAGAATTGGAGAGAACCTATTAGGCCTGTGGCTCTGGAGCCATATGCGGCTCCTTACCTAGGCACTGATTCCAGGGCTGGAGCTATAGATGCTAACTTTCCAATGTGCTGGAGGGTGCTCACTGCTCAACCCCCTGCTCTGCCCCAAGCCCTGCCCCCACTCCACCCCTTGCCCCAAGGCCCTGCCCCTTCCCCTGAGCCTTGCATGCCCTCACAGCCCTCCCTCCCCCCATAGCATCCTGCGCACTGAAACAGCTGATTGTGGTGGGAGTAGGTGCTGATTGGTGGGGACTGTGGGCAGGCAGGAGGTGCTGGGGAGCTGATGGGGGGGAGGGAAGGTTGCTGATGTATTACTGTGGCTCTTTGGCAATGTACATTGGTAAATTCTGGCTCCTTTTCAGGCTCAGGTTGGCTACCCCTGTATTAGGTCATTCAGTCTGTCCCTCCCAGCCTTGCAGGAGTGTGACTAGAGTATTGCATTTTCAGTAATACCCTACATTTCCCTCAGTCCTTGACAGCTACACCTTTCAGGTACTTGTGGATTGTTATCCTGTGTCTCCCTTAAATAGTTCCACTAAATGTTATCCAGCTTTCAGTTGTTTACTTCAGAAGCAAGTCCCTTTAATTCTTCCCTTTCAATAATTTTGCTGTTTTCTAATTTGCCCATATTTCTATAGCAGGGTCCCTAAAACTGAATGGAGCATTTGAAATATGGTTTCATCAAGCCCTATGTAGCCACCTCATCTATGATGCCTCTGTACACTGCTCAGGATTGCAGTGCATTTTTTGTTTGTTTGCTGGCATAATACACTGCAAACTTGTCACTCCCTAAGTCTTTCAGTATTTCCGCTTCTCTTTGATTGTCTGTTTTGGATCACTTCCCCCACGTTTTCCCAAATTGACTTTTTCTACTCTCATTTGTTATCCCTAAGTCCCTCTATATTATTTCCTGTCATTGCTAGTGTTCACGGGGTAGTGTCTGTAGCAAACTTCACTAACGTGTTGGCTCCCTGTTCTAGATCATTGAAAAAGTTTAAACCCCACCACTAGGAACAGTGTTTCCCCAGTTCTCCTATCCCTGGATGCATTGCTCTTTATCACTAATCTTTGCTGATAGTCCTCGGTCATTTACAGGAAATAGTGACCACATCTGTAGGTAGCCTAGCTATGAAGAAGCGTCGTCTTTAGTACAGTTGACACAACTGGGGTTGCATTACTGGGGTTATGCTTTCCTGTGTAGCATCAACATACAGAAACTGGACTAGTCAGACAGGGACTTACTCTGAAGCAACGCGCTTATTCCAGAAAGAAATATTGCAGTTAGTTGTGCTTATTCTGTGCTGTGACCTTTTGTACTGAATCTCTTTCAATGAGAAATGAACGGTTTCCCCAACAACTGTCTCAAATGGCTTTGGAAATGCAGGGAGAAACAAACTGTCCCGAGGCTAGAGGCTTCCCTTGGCAGAGTAGGGTTGGGTGCTCTACTTATTGAGAGAGTAGCGTAAACGGTGCATGCATACGCAGAGAGAGAAGGTGGGATCCATATCTGAACTGAGTCTTTTAGGGAAATGACCTGTTCCTTGGCATGCCAACTAACGTATGTTGATTGCACATGCTTTAGGACTGTTTGATACTATGCATCCCTGATGTCTGTCTCTTCCTCCTCCTGCAGTATTCTTAAGCATTGTAAAGATGTGGAGCTTTCCTTCAGCGATGTGTCTGACAAGGCTGAAATCTTCAAAGGCACCAAGAAGGGAATGGTATACCTCACCCCCTATAGGGTAAGTCTTGAGCCAGCAGCATTCTCCCACAGGCTTCTAGTCCTGGAGGCTTGTAAATGATTGGCTAAATCTCCTAGTTATGAGGAGGCTAGAAATTCAAGATGGGAGAGGGTGGTGGAAATGGGTCATGCTTGTCCTATTCTCCACAGTCCTCTTTCCCAGCTAGGGCCGGTGCCAGATTGTTCTCTACAGCATGTTTTCATGTGTCTTTTACATTGTCCTGTTTTCAGTGTCAGTCAGTGGGGCTTCCACTATTTCCTTTGAAAGTCTCCTTCAAAATCCTTGCTGGGGGGGGGGAGAGAGAGAGAGCCAACCAGCCAGCCAAAAACCCTCCATACGCACATCCAAAGTCTCTGTCCTGAACGTCAACCACTGTTTAACTTGGCTTCTCAGTTCTCATGGCTGCTGCTGTATGTAGCCTTTTAAACGGGAACAGGAGTTGACTTATAATGTACTCTAGATCCACGCAAATGGGCATAGGCTTTGACCTGTTACGGCTTATCATACAGGCACAGTGGACTAACCTGATTGAAACAAACCCCTTCTTAGTAAACATTTGAAAGCTGGGGGCAAAAAACCCTCTCCTGCTGTTCCAGGGATTACTGAAGGGGACTATGATGCTTCTGCAAGTGTTTTGATGAGTGCAAGTACAAAGGACTAGGGGAAACTTCAGTGTAGTCCAAAAAACTGGACTAGGAAAGCCCTGGAGAACCTCCTAAAGGGGTCAGTTCTGTACTGGCTTGAGGGATGGACAGTAAATCTTTCCTGTCTTCAGTCCTGTGGCTTCTGATGTGGCTCATACAAAATTTTGCATGCCCACAAGTATTCCTCATCCCTTTGGGCTGTATCCAGTCTTCGAGTGCCAGCAGCACTCTAGAATTCTTCACTTAGCCGGTGCTTCTCTAGAGACAGTCACCAAACGAACTAAGCTGGTCTGAATTCACAGCTTTTGGTTTGTAAGTCTGTAGATGGACACTGCTCATTTGGTTTGAGTGTCCTGTTTTGACTTTAGCTTTAACTAGATATGATGCACTGAATCTGCCAAAGCACTGGACACACCAATGAGTTAGATCCCGGAAGGGTGTAATAGCTGTGAAAGATGCAAGGCGGCAGCTTTCCTGTACGCTGCAGTGAGTTACACATAGCCTGTGACTTTATCTCTTTTTAATGAGAGAGGGAATGTTAGGCCAGGGCTCTGCTCTTCTATCCCCTGCCTTTGGTTTTCCTTATTTAAGAATGATCATAGTAACTGCTAAGTTACTATTCAAACAGGCTGCTAGATTTGAGCAGAAGGACCACACATCTAAGCAGTCCAGAACTTCTGGTCCACTTCAGTGCAGTGGAACTTCAAGCTGCAGTGCTGCAGACTGTGGCACAAAAATAGTGCAGTGATTTGAGGTTTTAAAGGGAGAAAATATTTCTTAATTTACATGGTGTCAACTGCACGCTACTGTGGAAGTTACACATGTTTCAGGTGTGGGAGCCCTACATATGTGATTGTCAAAGTTCTTTTGGATCTCTCAGGATGAAAACTGTTATGTAGCTGTAGAATAGGAATTTGCATGTATAATTGTTCCAGAGCTGTAGTTTCTCTTTACCAGCTTTTTAAAGCAGTCTCTGCTTTGAACACTCTTGAAACTGCCTGTTTCACTCTAGGTATAAAGACTGATTGTAAATTAACAACTTTAAAATGTCCCCTCTATCTTGCAGATGATCTTTGTGTCTAAAGGCAAGGACCCCATGATGTCCTTCATGATGCCATTCTACTTGGTGAAAGGGTGCTCTGTTGAGCAGCCTGTCTTCGCTGCCAATTACATCAAAGGCGTGATCCAGGCTGAGGCAGGAGGTGTGTGTTAATGCGTTGCTGCTCCAAGCACACTTAACTGAGCTTCCCAAGTACTTTTTCCCTTCTGCTGAATTTCTAGCCCAGGGCTTGTCCACATGAGAAATTGACTGGCATAGCAATAGTGAAATATGCCAGTCAATTTCCCCACTTAGGCATGTCCTAAGTTTAGTGGAAAGCCCCCCAAAAGCCTCGTAATGGATATTTTTGTCCAGTATAAACTTGTAACCGTGATCCAAATGTTATAAGAAAATTACTTGATCTTTGAATTTCTGCATGTGTTAGTTGCTTCCTAGGCTCAGTTTGAGAGGGAGTTGGAGGGGGTAGGCGAGTGATGGGTTCACCAACTTCAACTGTTGATCTTGTTGGCTGCTAGTCACGACTGTACAAAGTGAGCACGCTTCTCTGGAGATCAGCAGACCTTTCTTCGCTGAAATGCGGGCGTGTGCATCTCTGTATATCACTGGTTCAGACTTGACCCCAAGCTAGTAGTGGCTGAAAATTACCATCTGACACTTGTGATGCCCTGTTTGAAATGACTTGGTGGTCTTGTTCTAGTTCCTAGTAGTCATCTCAGAAACAACAGTCACAGTTGGCACTAATTGTTGGCACTTACAGAACAAAAAATCAGGACAAAAAAGGGCCCGAGACAACTCCCCTCAGTCATAGTACTAGCTCCTCTGGGGTCGAGGCACCTGGGTAGGAGAGGGCGATGTGTTGGGAAACCTTACATCTCTGCTGGCTGCTTCTGTATTTGTTCTAGTGAGGACTAGGTCTCCAGGCTGTGAATCCAGCACCTTTCCCTGGCAATAAAATCACTCTTTGTGGAGATTCTGCTATAGTAATGGTGACTCATGTCCGGGTCACTCTGGCTCTTGAGTAGCTAGAGCTTTCTGCATAATCTATTCTGCACGTACACTGCAGTGGTCTCAGATACCTTTTTTACTATGCCAGTTCATTTGTCATGCTTCTTGAAATCCTTTCCTTCTACCCCAGCCTTTCTTGCTGGCTTGGGGTGTTGCTTCATGATGGGAAGTATAGCGGTAGGTTGCTGATTCTTTGGGTAACTTGCCCAAGCTTAACTACTACTGATAAGACAATAGGAAAGAATAAAATTTGAGCAACGCAGTGTTTAAGTGTGTTGTGGAACCAGCCACTCCCTTTCAATTTATATGCCTGATGGTTATTTTTTTTATTCCTCCTCTAACAATGTGCAGAAAAACCCCAAACTTCTCATACAGTCTCTCCGGACAACTTTTCTTGGCAGAAGTTAATCAGACAAGGGATTTTGGAACCTGGGCTTTTCGTTTTAAAACTCAAACTTTAATCTCCCATCTGACAACTTGTTTTAAAAACTCCCAATTTGCTTTATCCACGTGTCCTCCAATAAGGAAACCCACCCTTTTGTACAGTTTGGGTGACTTATCTTGGGGTTTTAGCATGTGCTAATGAATTTCTAAAAACTCCCGTTAGGCCTAAAACTGGGTAATCTTTATCTAAGCTGATCTGCTTCAAAGAGGGTGAAGAGTCTGCTGATGGAATATTTGATTCCAGTCCTGGCTTCCGTTTCAGGCCCTGATTCAAAGTCCATTTAGTTTGGTGGAAGGGCTCCCATTCAGTGGGCAGGCTCCCGCTGGATGAAATGTGTCCTTTCTACATCGTATTTATAATTGGATTCTCTGTTAGCCTGCCAGCAGAAAATATAGATCTACAGCAACTCTTGCATGTCCATATTTTAGACTCTCCTTTTAAAAAAAATAAGGAAATACCCAGATAAACCCTCTCCTGGTCTCCCTGAGATTATCTTGTATACAAGTGGGCTGAGTGACCAGTGCGAAGAAAGCTGGTGGTGCCGTCCTGCTGGCAGGTCTGCAGTAGTTGTCCAAACCCTGTTTGGTCTCTTGTTTAAGTTGGGAGCTTCTAGAAAACAAATCAACTAATAATCCGTATCCAATTTCAAACTAGTTTCTTGGTGTTAATCTTTCAGAGTATATTTAATGGTTTCATTTGTAATTCCCACTTTCTCCTTTAGGGGGCTGGGAAGGGCAGGCTTCCTTTAAAATGACCTTCAACAGCGGAGGAGCCATTGAGTTTGGACAATTGATGTTCAGGGTTGCCACTAATGGTAAGTGACCTTCAGAGGTGTGACTATTCTTTAGCTAGAAGAGTTGGCTGGAAAACTAGCTTTTGCTGCAGTAAACTCCTTGGGGTGAGCAGGGGGAATAACCCTTCTAAACTTCTCAATCAAAAAAGATTGACTTTTCCATGAGAACTTTTGTCTTCATTCTACACCCTATTGTTGGTCTTAATGCTCTGGTTTTGGAAAACTGAAAAACTTAATATTCCCAATTCTTGGAATGAGCCCCCTATTCCCTTTTTAAAAAAAAAAAAAAATCTTTTCCCCTCTGTCTTCCAACTGGAAAAAGTAGGAAAACATGACATTAGTATGGGGGAACTACTCTCACACTTAGCTTACCCAACCCTATTTTCCCAAAGGGGAGAAAGTGTATTAAAAATGGAGTGGAGGGAGGAAAACTTCCTATTTTTTGGCTTCCAAAAATTGATGATAAATCTAAACAAAAAAATTCATTTTGGCTGGAAACAAACTTCTTGTATAGATTTTCCTGATCAGAAAAACTTCTTAAATGTGTGGGGTTTTTCCCTTAATGAAACCACATTCTTCGGTGGAGACGTTTTTGGCGAGCTTTAGTGGCTAGTATCTGTGTAGATATTGCAGAGCCGGGTTAATCTGAGTCATCTCCATAAGCTTTTCCCAGCTCAGGGTCCAACCCTGCTCCCCAGCGTCCAAGCTGGCAAAGCTAACTACCACAGCAGTGTGTGAACATGGGAGAAGAAGAGATTATTGCTAGATGGGTTTCAGGCAAAGCCATTGCTCCAGGACCCAGTGACTCATAGCTCTGTTGCAATGACAGATCAGACTAAATTAATGTGACCATTATTTCCTTTTCTTTGCTTCTCCATTTTAATTGCATGACAGTGTGCTGAGTCAGACTTGCTAAACTTAATTCTTTTTAGCTTCCAGAGGGGCTCCTGCCCAGAATACTGGCTATGGCTATATGCCTGCCTTTGGGGGGTACACCCCTGCTCCAGGAGGTTATTCACCTGCACCAGGGGGCTATGCCCCCCAGCCAGCTAATGGACCTTCCCCTTATGTGCCCCCACCAATGAATGGATATGGACCAGCTCCACAACCCATGGGATACCCTTACGCACCACCTCCAGGTAAAGCCTTCTGATGGGCTTCAACCTCTTGTAACATACCAGTGTTGTGTGAGAGGCAGAGTGCACGTGCTGTGTGTACTGGGAGCTGTAAAGGACTGTGTCAGAGTAAAGAACACAAGAGTCCATCATAGCTGGGGGATGACTTGTATAGCAGCAGCCCATTCTCTCTGAGCAGCATTGTTAGTCTTATAAGGGCCCTGACTCCTCCGGGTCACTGAAGCATTTCCTTGCAAGGACTGGGGTGTCCTGGTAAAATCCAGCTTGAGTATCGTTGCGTCTCCCTAGAGATCCAGTGGGACAGGTAATAAAGGATACGACATCCTAAGCTGGGTAACACCTTCTGGCAGAGAATGGCAGGCAAATTCGGGGAGTGATTGTTGTCTGCAAAGCCCTCTGGGGTCAAAGGCGCTACAGCCATATAAAATCCTGCTGTGGAGCTGCTGCTGTTTAAGCTTGGGTGACTTGTCTTAATCTGTGTATATCCGCTCTGGACAGAAGCAACAGGCCTGTAAACTAGACCTGCAATATGTCCCACAGGAATGGTTTAAAGCACCTTTTTAATGTGTCTCCTTTCTACAGGCATGTACCCACCTCCTCCTGACATGAACCCCCTGTATATGGCTCCTCCTCCCCCCTACCCTGGCCCTCCTACTGCAGGACCTTCAGCTCCCACAGCCCCTACAGCCTGCATGGAGCCTGGAATGCCAGGTAAGGGAGCGGGAGGGACTCTCAGGGTGCAGTTCCAAAAGGGATTGTCTCTGGTGTAGATGTGAATGATGGAATTTCTCTCGTTACAGGCTCTTTGAGTCACCCTGTCAAGGTTCCTTCCCCACTCTGAACTCTAGGGTACAGATGTGGGGACCTGCATGAAAACCTCTAAGCTTAACTACCAGCTTAGATCTGCTTTTGCTGCCACTACCCAAATTATTTGAGTTATTTGGGAAACTCTGTCTACCTCTCCCCCCCAGAATATCTCCCTCCCAAGTACTATAATCCTTCCCTGGGTAGCCTTGAGAGACTTCTCCACCAATTTCCTGGTGAACACCGACCCAAACCCTTGGATCTTAAAACAAGGAGAAATTAACCATTCTCCCTCCTTTCCCCCCACCAATTCCTGGTGAGTCCAGATCCAACCCCCTTGGATCTTAAATCAAGGAAAAATCAATCAGGTTCTTAAAAAGAAGGTTTTTAATTAAAGAAAGAAAGGTAAAAATCATCTCTGTAAAATCAGGGTGGAAAATAACTTTACAGAGTAATCGGATTTAAAGAGCCCAGAGGAACCCACTCTAGCCTTAGGTTCAAAGTTACAGCAAACAGAGGTAAACCCTCTAGCAAAAGGAACATTTACAAGTTGAGAAAACAAAGATAAACCTAACACGCCTTGCCTGGCTGTTACTGACAAGTTTGAAATATGAGAGACTTGTTCAGAAAGATTTGGAGAGCATGGATTGATGTCCGGTCCCTCTTAGTCCCAAGAGTGAACAACCCCCAAAACAAAGAGCACAAACAAAAGCCTTCCCCCCCACCAAGATTTGAAAGTATCTTGTCCCCTTATTGGTCCTTTGGGTCAGGTGTCAGCCAGGTTACCTGATCTTCTTAACCCTTTACAGGTAAAAGGTTTTTGGTGTCTCTGGCCAGGAGGGATTTTATAGTATTGTACACAGGAGGGCTGTTACCCTTCCCTTTATAGTTATGACATACCCATTTCTAGGCAGTTTGTGGTGGGTGGGGGAGGATGACATGGCAGTTCCCAGCACTGTACTGGTTCTGTCCAGCATGAGCAAGTTCCTTGCTCTCATGAGCAGGCCCAAAGTAAAAGTAAGAGAGCTGGCTCTGATGTTGCAAACTGGTCCTCTTGCCACCTTTTGTCTCTAGAGTCTGCTTAAGAAAGCTGTGTTAAAAGGTATGACACACAGAAGCCACCTGCTATAGCAGGAAGGAGACCCTACTGAAAGTGTTCCCTGGGGATCCTTTTGGTTGGAACAGGAGGTCTGTGTTGATGACCACAGGTACAGGCCAAACTGCTGCCGAATACTATCCGTTGGAATTGGAGATGTAATGTTCCAGATCGTTTTATAGTATAGCATTATGCCTGGCTAATGTCCACAACTATGCCGTGGTTATCTTAAGGCTAAAATCAAGAGTGACCTAGCTGATGTGAGGGGAGACTTGTCTTACTCCCAGAGAGCTGTAAAGCCCAGGATATCTGTTAACAAGGAAGCATTGTCTGGTGGTTTAAGCACAGCTGGGAGATGTGGGTTCTGTTCCCTGCTCTGCTACAGACTTATTTTGTGACCTTAGGAAAGCCAGTTAACTTGTCTGGGACTCTGTTTTGCCCACCTTAAAAACAGGTATTCTCTCTTTTAGGTGGGGGCTGGGAAGCTGAATTCACTATTTGTAACACTTAAGAACACTTGTTTTTTGCCTTACCCTGTAGGTGGCAGTAAAGCAGCAGAAGCAGCTTCGAGTGCCTATTACAACCCAGCCAATCCCCACAATGTCTATATGCCTATGGTAAGCAACATTGAGTTGTCTGTTGGGCTGGAGGGCAAAGGGGTAAGTGGAACTAACGCGCTTGCTGTTCAGCTGCTACAGCTGAATCCTGGGCAGCTTGTCATCCTACTGCAGCAGCTGCTCAGGTCACAGCGCATAGTCCATGCTGGGCCACAGCGCACCAAGTCTAGTATCCTGCTTCTGGGTGTACCTAAGCAGGCTCTTTGCCCATCTAGTCTAGCTGCGGGCAGTGCTTGATCCTCAAGAGGAGAGTGGACCCACCCACATGCACCAGATCAGTTGAACTTAGATGGGTCTAGGTGTCTCATTTCTTTCTGACCCCCACAGGCAATTGGCTCCCCAAAGCAGGAGGTTTACGATCACGACTATGCTATTTAGAAATGATCTAGCCACTCTTTCCTACAAAGAAGGCTCATCAAAATACTCATGCTTAATCACTGTTCCTGGAATCAGTCTTAGTATTTTTCTGATCAAGAAGGCAGGGAACTCTAAGACCTGCACGAAAGTTGTTCCTGTACAGAAACAATATATTTCTCAGCTTCTGCAAGAATGGGGGTAGCCAGATATAGGAACTTAAAGGGAAGGGATAATGCAGGTTTAGACTGTTCTGGGCCAGGGGAGACGGACAAGATCTGTCCTAACAAACTGCCACAGGAACCACAGTCACTGTGGAGGGTGAGAGGAAGATGAGGATTAAAACAACATCCAGTCACAGTGCTGCTCTTAATGAAGTACACACATCCTGATGGGCTTTTAAAGGGACACTTTTGGTGTTCATCTTTTTTGTGTGGTGCCTCATTTGAAGCATTATGGGAACTGGCAAAGGTTCTGGGATGTAACTGAAACTGGGAAGAAACACCCAGGGGTAGCTGTAGCCTAACATATAGGCCCCGCCCCTGTCACTGTCAGCTCAGTATCTCTCAAGCTGTAGCCGATGGCAAAGGTTGGGTGCATAAGCTAAGCCTGGGAGTGCCCGGAAAGCTGAACAGCTACACACAACACTGCTGATTGTAGATCGAATCAGTCACCATGTCTGTTTCTTCTCACTTTGCAGGACCAGCCGCCTCCTTATGCACCTCCTGCTGAGAAAAAGAACAACTAACAGAAGGAACCCACCCACCAACTGCTCACGTTCCTTCTCCCCAAAGACACTTCTGTCCTCACCACCACCCCCTCAGTTCAGTGTATCTCTAGGCTTCATGTGTGTCTAATATACATGCGTTGGGTGGCCTAACACCCGCCCTCTTTAAACACTGAGTGTGACAATACAAGTGGAACAGCAAAAGCGGCAGCAGCGTTTTCCTGCCTGATTGCTTTCCATTCCAGGGCCAGAGCACTGTCCCTCGGAGGCTTTTGCCATGAATTTGAGGGGAGGGCTGAAATCTTAGACCAGCAGAGCGAGCGCATCACTAACGTAGGACTAAAACATTATGGCTTCTTGATTTTTGAGTGAAGGAAAATGGTTTGAGACAGTGGTTTTAAACTTCCTCTGAGGCAACCGTAAGTAAGAAGGAAAGAGGCAATGGGCTGCTGCGTTTCCCCATGTTGGTATAAAGGAGGAGCATGTTACATTTTTCTTGGGTGCTCTTCCCTTTGTAAGGGAATCGAGTGAAGTGCTGGAGGCTTGTCACCTCAGCTTCATTGGAACTGGGCCACGTTGTAACCTGGGAGACGGCTCCTGAGACACACTCAACCTAGTTAAGCATTTTGCAGTGTGGGCTTCAGTGTGGAGAGGCCAAGAACAATGCTAACTAAGCAGTAGCAGCAAGGGAGTATGAACTGGCTTTGGCTAAATCACTGGCCCTGCGGAAAAGAGGAGCAAACACAGGTGCAGTTTTACACCTACCTTGGACACAGCAAAGCCCCCCGCATGCATCTGTCTCCTTTCCCAGGAAACCTGCCTCTCTCAAAACAGGAGATGGCTAGAAGAAGTGAGATGCCTCACTTGCTGGGGTGTGCAGACATCCAAGGATGCCTGGTTCTTCCTCCTCTCCCCTCTATTGTGAGAAGCTTCTCTTCTGTATTGTAAATGTACTTCTGAGGAGAGGGGGATGTGTTCAGTGCAGTGGAAGCGAGACTCTGGCCACCTGCAGCAGGTGGACACAATGAAAGACTTGGGAGGAACCCGTGCATCTAACCTGGAAATGGGTAGTGGCTTTCTAAAAGCAGTACGCCTGTGTAGATGGGCAGTAGAAAAGCAAATTGGGACTGGGTGGAGGGGAGTGGAATCTGGGCTACAGAGCTCTGAGCAAATGGGAGTGGGAATTAATCCAAATCTTCCTTTCATTCTCCTGGAAACTGGCCCCTCTGTGCAGCAGTGCTGTGTGCAGCAGCAGCCATGCTGCGGGTGCGGGTGAGTGAGAAGTATTAAGGTATTCTACTCTGACAGCACATGTTTCACCAAGGAGAGAATAACCTTTGGCAACAGCCTCACCATAGGGATGGGGTCAGAAGCTATTGCTCTGACTACTGAGCAACCTCATCCCCTGTGCTGGCTTCCTTAGGAAGCACTGGGTGGGGGCGGAGAGGGATCTGTCTTCCCTCCACGTGTAACTAAAGCCGTGCTGGTGTGAATGTGCTGGCATCTGAACAGTAGTGGGGGTGAGGAAGAGAATCTCAGTTGGTGGGGTGGGTTGGTTTGTTCAATGGTGGTGGGGTAACTGGATGGTTCTTTACTGCTTGCATGGCATCCCCCCGGGGTGAGACAGTGCCCGTTCACCAGTAATAACCAATATTGTTTGTAATGTAGCTGTTACTACTAACCCTCAGCTGTTACTGAGAATAGAGCAACTCAGTTGGGACCTTCTCTTCTCCCTTAGGAGCTGAACTTGCTTTCCAAAGAGAATCACACTTGTCTAGTGGAGCACCTCTGATTCCCAGTGTAGGGCCTGCTCAGCCCCTCCCCACCCCCTGTTCTCACTCAGGGTAGGGACTGTTTGTTTGTTTGTTTTTAGTTCCTTTGCTCCCTATGTGCTAGGCTATTGTACAAGCAAGGCTCACACAACGTGTGTGTATTCCTGTAGCTGCCTGACATTCTTCCGCATAGCAGCCATCTGCAAGGGAGGAACTTTCTTTCTAAGAAACCTTTTTAATCTGAGTCAAAGATTCTCTAACTTTCTGGAATTAAAAATGTTCTGCCATCAATGTTTGTAATATCTTTTGCATTGCACTTTAATACAGAAGCATTGGAATCTTCAGGCCTGTGCGTCAGTTCAGTGGTGTGCGTGTAACCACCAGCGTGCCGTGCAATGGGCAAGAAAAATGGAATGGATAGGATAAGAATTGCAAAAAAACCATAATTGGTTGTGGGATTGTTTTCGTGGCTTTGTGATCAATGCATGGTCCCTCCCCCAGAGCACTGCTTAGCTGGGCTGTAGAACTAGAGTGGGGAAAATGGCCTCTAGTTAAAAATCCCACTCCACTTGCACCTCCAGCTGTGTTTATAGCCTATCCCTTAGGCTGGGAGGGGAGGGAGGCTGCCTTTTGCCATCACTGCCTTAGCTGCTGTAACTAGTGTCCTAGTTAACTCAAACTGGCACACTAACCCTTTCTTGTGGCATGCCAAGCACCACTAACGGGCTGTGGGAGTTCTCTGCTAATGCAGTATTCCTGCAGCTCTTCTATAAACAGCTGTTCTCAAGCGCTTGTTTGCCCTGGTCCCACAACTAGCACTGATTCTTTTATTAGTTAAGGAGCAAAAGTGGAAGGTTCCCAGTTGTTACCTCGCTGCCCAGTTGTGATGGTGGTCAGCTGTTCCATCTTCTGGGTGTAGGTTAAATCCCTGGGGACAAAATACCTTTCTTCCACATTCACCTGCACCCGTACAGCTTGTCTCGTGCATCCGACACTTGCTTCGCTGAAAGAGCGGCACCAAATGTGGGCTAGCTTCAAGGGGGTAGGTAGCTGGAGAAAAAGCAGTCAGACAAAACATCTTCTCCTGAAGATGGGAGTGAGGGCAGGCTTGGGACAATCACACAAGGCTGAGAATTGCTGCCTCTACGCTACAGCTGCCAGGGAGCCCTGTTACAACACTCCAAGCTGTAGGACATGTAGAACCGCATCTGTCTTCTGTAACTTGACTGAGAGCTTTGTCTGGAGTGAGGCTTTAGCTTAGGTACTGAATGTGCCTAAGGTCCTACTTGCCATCACACTAGCACAGTGTCTTACCCACATCCCTGTGATATGTTTGCAGTGGTGGGCTTGACACTAGTAGCTTGGTTTGCAATGCTACAAAGGCTGTGCTAGGAGAGGAGGAAAAGAAAGAAGCTCTTGGCAAAAGTGTGACTGCAGCCAGCTGTTGCCTGCACCCAGGTTGGCTGGCTCAGTAGCATAGACTGAGCCCTCTGTCTAAGGGGAAGGAGAAAAGCTTAAGCCCTTTTTTGAGCTTGCAGCAGGAGCTGTTAGGTTGGACAGGGCCACTCTCACTGCTGTCCTCCAGCTGGCAGTTCCAACTCCCAGTGTCCATCTAGTGAAGAGCGAAAGGAAGCTGGTGCCAACTTCTGACTCCTTAAAACTCCAATGAGTGACATGTGGTGGGGGAGACTACTATTGCTCTGGGAATGTTTTCTGGCCAGTAACAAAGTCAACAAAAGAATTGCACTGTTTATATAGGTCCTATACAGAGCCCGTGTTCTCTCCCCTCTAGCCAGCCCTCCCCCCAGACAGCGTGAGGACAGAAAGCGGGTCCGTACCTCATAACAACTTGACTTGCTAGATTGTCTTTATGGCGCAAGGATAAAAGGAAGATCTAACAGTGACTCTTATGCAGGAGGAGAAAATCTTAAATTCGTTGTTTTTATTGTAGACAAAGTTACAGGTTTGAGAGAGGACTTTTCATTACAAAAAAAAGCTGATTGGTTGTGGCAGTGAAGCCTGAGTCCTCATTAAGAATTAACCCTGCCCCATAATCACTTTCAAACTAGGCCCTGCTCTGTATCAGCTCACCCTCTATAACGTACACAATTCCATTTCCTAGCATGGGTTTTATAGCACTGGCCCTCCAGCCTGAGATGGTACATTACAAGTATGAGTGATAACTAGGGTGACCAGATAGCAACTGTGAAAAAATGGGACAGGGGGTGGGGGGTAATAAGTGCCTAGATAAGAAAAAGTCCCAAAAAATTGGCCTGTCCTTTTAAAAAGGGGACATCTGGTCACCCTATGATAACCCCTGTGCTAGCTGGTAACATATTTTACGCTGCTTAGTCGGCCAGCAGTTTCAGCAAAACATAGAGCTGTGCCTCACATCTCTAGTTAAAATAGAATTGAGCTAGAAACTACTGTCCTGCCTACAGTGCTCAAGTGCAATTTATTTTCAGTGGAAAGCAATGTTTAGAGTTATCTTCACCAGCACCTGGCTGGTTCTGCAAAGCCTGTGCCTCTCCCTACTGTCATTGCTGGTTGGGGGAACTCTGCAGGGAATGCAGAATGTCTGTCCTACAGCAGGGGTCTAGGCTTTTTCCTTGCAGAGGAAGGCTTGAAAACAAACAGCTGGAAATCAATGTTCTCAGCTTGCTGAAGTGGAAAGGAACAAGCAGCTGGCTTCTACTTCTTCCCTGGGGTGAGGGGGGGACACCTAGTAGAGATTCTCACTCATGCCTCAGGCCAGCCCTGCAGCTTGTAGTGCACTAATAAACAGGTATTGATTACATTGTAGGGGGAGGATCACCTAGCAAAAGACTCTTGCAGTTCTGTCCAAAATGGCCAAGGCCGCTCTGCTAGCAGCCAGTCAGTACCCAGCTTTTTTTAAGCATAGGCATCTCCCATTGTATCAACAGTACATTCTACTGCAGTGAGTCAGGTGTTACTTATCAGAACCCTAGGTAGGTTGCTGTATGGGAGATGGGGAGAGCAGTGGGCAGCCATTTGCTGGTGTCACTTGGTGCATGCAAAAGCCTGGCTTAGAGCCCTGTTGCAAAGTCCCCTCACCAACCAGTTAACATCTGCTATGCCACATATTCCTCCAATCCATATGCTGCAGCCTGTCCCATTCATCCAGCCTACCGGGCCCCTAGTGTTCTGAAATATTCTTCCCACTGAGTGAGGAGCTAAGCCCATACTACTGGAGGGATTCTGCATCACTGCACATGTGCAGAATTCATGTCCCCTGCAGATTTCTTTGCTTCCCTGCAGAAAAATGACTTCTGATGGGGAAGCCACAAGAGTGGTCACACATCCCTCCCTGGCAACACAGGCAGGTTGGTTCAGGCACCCAGAGCAGCTGGTAGACATAAATCACTGCCAGGAGGGGAGCTGGGCAGTCATATGTGTGTGAGAGAGAGAGACACCGTCCCTTTCACTTGCTATTGTGGCACACTTGGTGTGGAGGGACAGGACTTCAGGATGTTTCTGAGGAGGTAGGCATGGGGCAGGCTCTGTCCCTTCAGGCAGAGCAGAATGTAGCAGCCTGCCTGCTTAGTGAATTCCCCCAGGAGTATAAAACAGTTCTAAAAGTTTTAAGGCTCCTTTACATTGCCAGAGTGGTGTGAAGGACAGTATGGCCTTAAAAATGCTTATGGTGCTTTACTGATTAGAATTGGTCTAAATTTTTGGACTGAAAAAATGTGCTCCCTGCACTGTTTGCTACTGACTTTTCTGGTGATGGTCAGTAACCAATATAAATTGAGTTTGATTCCCCAGCCCTCACTTGCTCTTCAGTTACCTGTGATGTAACACTGAGCATATGGCTGTATATATTGGTTGACTAATAACTAGAAATAAAGGATCAAACCTCGCTACATTACTATTAGGCAAGGGGGTTTGGGGATTTCCTCCAATGCTACTCACTCCCCTTCTCCATCCATTGTATTGTAGTTTAAATAAATTACCTAAATAATTGAAACCAGCATGATTACATTATTTTGACAAATAAAATATGCTGAATTTTGCAAAATTTTAATATTGGGTGCAGAATTTTTAATTTTTTGGTGCAGAATTCTCCCTGAGTAGCCCATACCCCACTTCCCCCAGTCCTTGAGCTGTCAGTTTGGACCCAGCTGGGATGAAGAAGATAGGCTGTTTTCCTTTGTTACAACGCTCCTCTTCTGCCCATACAAATACATTAATTCTCTAGCACAACTTACACTGTAACACATAGTGAC